GATCTCGGCTCACCGCAACCTCCGCCTCCTGGGTTCAGGCAATTCTCCTGCCTCAGCCTCCTGAGTAGCTGGGATTACAGGCACGCACCACCATGCCCAGCTAATTTTTTGTATTTCTAGTAGAGATGGGGTTTCACCATGTTGACGAGGATGGTCTCGATCTCTTGACCTCGTGATCCACCCGGCCTCGGCCTCCCACAGTGCTGGGATTACAGGCTTGAGCCACCGCGCCCGGCCCATGTTTTTCTTTTTAAAAAAACAAAAACAAGGATCTTTTACACAACAATTATAAAAAATTAGAAAATCTACAGACCATATTTATATTTTTTCAATGGTCCTCGTAAGGCTTTTTTTTTTTTTTTTTTTTTTTTTAGACAGAATCTTGCTCTATCACCCAGGATGGAGTGCAGTGGAGCTATCTCAGCTCATTGCAACCTCTGCCTCCTGTGTTAAAGCACTTCTTCTGCCTCAGCGTTCTGAGTAGCTGAGATTACAGGCATATGCCACCACGCCTGGCTAATTTTGTATTTTTAGTAGAAACGGTTTCACCATGTTGGCCAGACTGGTCTCGAACTCCTGACCTTAGGTGATCTGCCTGCCTTGACCTCCTGAAGTGCTGGGATTACAAGCATGAGCCACTGAGCTCAGCTATGTCCTTTTTAGCTAATTAGATTGTTGAACATACGTTGTATTTAGATCTCAACTCTCTTGTGAATTTCTGTGAATATTCCACCAAATTATGTGACTATTCCACAATTATGAAGTGATTATAAAAGTATTTGAAAATTGTGATATACAATGTTTTAGTAAAGGTATGGTTTCTGATCAGCTCAAAAAATAAGTAAAAGTAAAGCAAAACTGTTGAACGTTAATGAGAACAGGCTAGTAGACTGTTAATAATGTTTATCTATGGTGGTGGGCATAAATAATTCTACTTTATTATTTCCATATTTTTTCTGGGTGACAGATCTAATAAAAAAAATTTAGATTCATTTGAAAAATTTCACGTTTTCCACTGTGAAAGCAGCTTAGGTCATTATAAGCCATGCGAATGGATGAGAGATCCAGAGGAAGAGCTGTAGTGATGCTACTTTTCTTGGCAAGATATTTTTCAACTTGAGATGTGACCTGGTGTATTTCACTAATGTTTATTGCAGGGGAGGGTGCACTGACCTTGTTTAACTTAAGAATTACCAGTTGATCCTGATTTTTCCTCTTTTTTCCCAAGCTGTACCGACCTCTTGACACTTCCTAGAGCTCAGCCTGGTAACTTCCCTATTATATACTCTTATATTTGGTGCTTTGTTTATCAAATATTTGTTGAATTGTTTATCGTAGAAAAACTTTTTTCTTGACTCAGGTAGGGTATATTATTATAAAGATAAAAATTAAAGTTCTCATTGAAATTTATTTTCATAAATATGCTAGCACTAGTATTACTGTACTGGTACTGTTAAATGCGTATTACGTGTATTGGCTATGCTTTCAAAAGTAGTTTCTGTGCCCTTTTAGGATAAAAAAGATATTACTGAAGAGAAATACAGAGTATTTTTGTCATATAATACTTAAGCTGGAAAAGCTAAGTCTGAATAAATCAGTCATTAGTATTTACCTTACATATGCCAATGAATAGTGACTTTATAGTTAGAAATGTATGGGCGAAACAGTATTAGAATGATAATGTAGAAACAGATAAGCTTCAGACTGTCCCCTACAGCAAAATGCTATTATTAGTAACTATTCTGCTTGAAATATTCAGTGAGATTCTTTCACTCATCAAGTGCTTGTTTGTTAATATTTTGACCAGGTCAGTCAGTGTTTCTTTGGTTTTTAAATAGTGCACATTTACAAAGCACTGGCTATTCTTTCAAGTTTAAATATTCTGCCTTCAGATCCATTATTTGTTCCTGGTTTACCCACTCCTCTATTACTTTTTTATACTTTTTCCAGAGAGATTTCAGCCATACTTCCTAACTTTGGTTTATCTTGTACTCTGACATTTCTGCATGAAGTAGTTTCTGTTTCAAATGTCTTAAAACCAGGGATGTTCTTATAATAATACTGTGCAGTGAGTGGATATCCACAACTAGTCCATAATTTTCACCTTTTTAAAAAAAAAAAATCTCTCTGTTTTAGCTCCTGTTTAACACATCTATCACCCCAAGCTGTCTCCTCCACTCCTTTTCTGATCTGCCGAAATCCCTCCCCACAATACTTTTATTATGAAAATGGTCACGCTTGAAGAACAGTTGAGAGTTATATAGTCAGTAGCCATGTGTTCCATTACCTTTCCATTAATTTATCTAACTTTTTAATGCTTTTCAAAGTAAATGATTCGTGGTACTCTTAATCACTTCAAAATGGGCATTATTGACTAGAGTGAATCATTTGTTTATAGTCTTTTTTTTTTTTTGAGATGGAGTTTCTGCTATTGTTGTGCAGGTTGGAGTGCAGTGGCGGGATCTTGGCTAACTGCAGCCTCCACCTTCCAGGTTCAAGCAATTCTTCTGTCTCAGCCTCCTAAGTAGCTGGGATCACAGGCATGCACCACCACACTTGGCCAGTTTTGTATTTTTAGTAGAGATAGGGTTTCCCCATGTTGGCCAGGCTGGTCTTGAACTCCTGACCTAAGGTGATCCACCTGCCTTGACCTCCCAAAGTACTGGGATTACAGGTGTGAGCCAGTGCACCCAGCCTTGTAGTCTTTTTTAAGGTAAAATTTATATACAGATAACATTCCAAGTATATTGAATTGTTTTTTGCCAAATACGTATTCCTGTGTAACACAGTATCCTGTTAAGATATGGAACATAATCCTCATCCTGGAAAATGCTGCTGATTTTTGTTTTAAGTTTGTTTTCTTTGTACAAACATCCTGTTACCTTAGGGTTCTGGTGGTTTTCTTTATGTAGTACTGACTGCTGTCACTTGTCAATCTCTTGCCTTCAACTCTCATTTCCATCTTTTTGTGTACTTTTCATTTTAGACTCTCACAGGTTCCCCATGTCTCTGATGTGAATTGTGTTCTCCTAGCTGCTTAGTCCACACGTCTAGTCCCTGCAAGTATGAAATGACAGAAACATCTCCCTGTACATTCTTTCCTTCTCTTGCTATCCATACCATGCGTTTTTAGACTGCTTATAAAATAACATCCTCCTTAGCTGAGGGGCAACGTGATTGATGTATCGCGTCCTACACTTGCCTGGTCAGTAGAAGGCCTGGGTCATTAAAAACAGCATACGGCTAGGCGTGGTGGCTCATGCCCGTAATCCAAGCACTTGGGAGGCCAGGGCGGGTGGATCACCTGAGGTCGGGAGTTCATGACCAGCCTGACCAACATGGTGAAACCCCGTATTTAA